TTTTTAAAAATAGAAATAAAAATATATAAGCATATTAAAATTGTTTTTTTTTTTAAAAATAATATAAAATGTCGAGAAGTGCCTTACGTGCAATAGTCGTTTAGATGTTCTGGAAATCTCACCCTTCTTCCAGAACGCGTCGTTTTAAGTTTATTTTCGGATACTGTCGAAGTATCATCGTGTGTGTTGGTTGTCGGATGAGGTATTATAAGTGTCGGAGTCGTGTCGTTCAATTGTACCGAAGGAAAATCCACGTAGATAGGATTTCCTTCTAAATACGCTGCTTTTAAGCGATCGATACTGATGCTATCGTTGGTTCCGTTCTTGTCGACTATATAGTACTTAGATTCACGTTGGAGAACTTTGAAGGGTCCTTCGTATGCTGATTCGAAGGGTCGTCGATGCGAGTCTCGACGAACGAAAACGTGTGTACTATATCGTAAGTCAGGTTGAACGAAAACATCAGTTGATTGAGGTCGGGTAGAAGTAGGTTTAACTGAACGCATTGCGTTTGTAAGCCTGTTCGTGTAGGAGGTTAGATCCATGTTCATTGAAGAGGATGAAGGATCCACGAATTCTCCTGGAAGTCGAAGTGTCGTTCCATAAACGAGTTGAGACGCAGTGTATCCAATGTCAGCTTTCACTGCATTGCGGATACCTAGTAAGACGAGTGGAAGAGCGTCGGTCCACTGTGAAACGTTTGTAGCTGATAGCGAAGCTTTCAGTTGTCGGTGAAAACGTTCTACCAACCCGTTTGATTGTGGATGGTAGGCGGTCGTTCGGAAGCGAGTGATTCCTAAAAGAGTGGTCAGACGACGCAAAAGATCGGATTCAAACTGACGTTCGCGGTCTGTAGTGATGGTTGAAGGGCAACCGAAGTTTGCTACCCATCGTTCGACGAAGGTGCGGGCCACTGTTTCAGCAGTGATGTCCTTGATAGGTACTGCTTCTGGCCATCGAGTGAAACGGTCTACGCAGGTTAAGAGATAAGAGTATCCATTTGAATCTGGTAAAGGTCCTACCAAATCCAGATGAACATGGTCGAAACGAGCATCGGGAGTTTTAAACGTGCCTAAGGGACATTTATTGTGTCTGATAACCTTAGATTTTTGGCAGCTTACACAGGAGCGTGCCCACTCCCTCACGTCTTTATTCATTCCAGGCCAGCAAAACCGTTCTGCTATAAACTTGATGGTTGCACGAACACCTGGATGCGAAAGTTTGTGCAATGTGTTGAAGACATTGCGTCGATAATGTTTCGGCACGATTGGGCGATCCCTACCTGTAGACGTGTCACAAAGTAAGGTTTCCTTACCTGTTCCCATCTGTTTGATGCGTAGTTTAAGTGTTGTGGACGATAACTCGTGCTGAAGATCACTGTCTTCTTTTTGAAGCTCGGCGAATTTAAGAAGGTCGATTCCTTGGAAACTGTTCAAGGAAGTTATGCGAGATAAGGCGTCTGCAACTACATTGTTTGCTCCAGAGATGTGTTGAATGTCTGAAGTAAACTGCGAAATGTAGTCCAGTTGTCGAGACTCACGGGGAGAGTACTTGTCAGAAGGAGAGCTTAACGAGAAAGTGAGCGGTTTATGGTCCGTGAAAAGAGTGAATTCACGACCTTCGATGTAGTGTTGGAAATGCCGTACAGCACAATACATAGCTAGGAGTTCCCTACCGAATGTGCTGTACCTCGATTCGGTGTCTAGCAACCTTCTAGAGAAAAATGCCAAGGGTTGCCAGGAGTTGTTAACCCGTTGTTGTAAGACTCCTCCGATTGCCGAGTCCGATGCGTCTACTGTGATGCTAATGGGTGCTCGGGTGTCCTGATGTGCGAGCATTGTTGCTTTAGCAATCAGTTCCTTAACTGTGGAGAATGCTTTTCGTGCGGTGTCGTCCAAATTAATGGATTTCGCATTTCCACGAAGTTGGTCGGTTAGAGGTTTCATGAGTAATGCGCATTTCGGTATGAAACGTCTATAGAAACTTACGAGGCCGTTAAACGTGCGTAATTGCTTGACGGTGGTCGGTTCTGGGTAATCCAGAATGGCCGCCACTTTGGTTCTAAGGGGTCGGATACCTTGAGCATCGATAGTGTGTCCTAGGAAGTCTAACGAGTCGGTTCCGAATTGGCATTTCTGAACGTTTACAGTTATGCCATGTTTTTGTAGTCGTTCGAAAACAAGATCCAGATGCTTGAGATGTGTTTCTCTGTCCGGACTTGCGATTAGACAGTCGTCAACATACGCGTGTACGAAGTTGAGACCTCGAAAAACGTCGTCTATGAATCTTTGGAATGTTTGAGCAGCATTCCTTAGACCGAAAGGCATTCGCAAAAATTCATAGAGTCCGAAGGGAGTTATGATTTCTGTTTTCGGAATGTCGTCAGTAGCCATAGGTATTTGGTTATACGCTTTAACCAAGTCGATTTTCGAAAAGACAGTTGTACCTTTCAAGGCAGCTGTCAAATCGTGAATGTGAGGCAACGGGTAACGATCGGGAATGGTTTTCGCGTTCAATCGCCGATAGTCACCAGTTGGACGCCAATCGTTGCTGTCCTTTTTAGGGGCCATATGCAACGGAGATGCATATGGGCTACTTGACGGTCGTATGATTCCTAAGTCCATCATGTGATCGAATTCGTTTTTCGCTAACCTTAGCTTTTCAGGAGCTAGTCGGCGTGCTTTAGAGAATACAGGTGGTCTTGTAGTCGTGATGTGATGTGTAACATTGCTGGTTACACACGGTAGTTTCGGTTGAGTTTGTTGTATCTCAGGGTACTTATCGAGTAGTGGTTGATAGAGTGGGTCTATCATATGTTTAACTGTGACTGGGGATACTCTACAACCAGTGAAAGAAGTTACGCAAACGGACAAATTAGTGTTTCCGTCTACTAGCCTCCGTTTGCGAGTATCGATGATCAGATTGTGGTGTTGTAGAAGGTCCATACCAATGATTGGTATAGAAACATCTGCAACAACGAAAATCCAGTGGATGGGTTTGCGTAAACCCACGTTAAGGTAAACGTACCTTTTGCCATACGTAGCGATCGGTTTTCCATTTGCCGCCTGTAAGTTTAGGGTCGATTCGTGTAGTTGGTCGTTAGGATTTGCTGGGAGAACGCTAACTTCTGCGCCAGTGTCGACGAGGTAGCGAACTCTCGTTGTCACATCTGTGACGTATAACAGACGGCTTTGTTCGCCGGCTACGGTTGCCGTTAACGCGTGCCGGCTTGGAAGTTTCCCGAATTGCTTTTCGAATCAGTCGGTTTCGTGTTGGTAAAATTGCAGGGTTTTCTGCAATTTCTGGAAAACTTTCCATACTGGTTATGATACCAGCACCAGTCGGGGTTATCTGTCTCTCGTGGTCTAGAGACAGATCGCTTACGAGAAATGCTTCTACGTGGAGTGCGCGATCTCTTACGGTCGTTACGAAGACTAAGATAACGCGTGAGTGTATGACATAAATCGGTTATATCATTCTGAGTCGTTTGAGGTTTTTCTGTGACTGAAAATACCTCGGTAGTAGATTTCGTAATTTCTAAAGTGCGGTCGGCAGATGCAGCTAGCTCGTCTAAGGCGTTGTTCTGGAACGAGACCAGAACTGCTTGCACCTGTTGTGGAAGTTTTGACAAGAAGAGTTGTTTGAATAGACCTTCGTCGAAAGTTCTTGGGCCTATTACCTCTCTCATCCGTTGCAACATGTCTGTCGCAGAACCGTGTTGCAGGTCGATGTTATTGAAGAGTTGATCTAACCTTTGTCGATCGGTTAGGTCTCCTCGTTTAAGAATCGAGCGTTTTAAGATTTCGTAAGGATCGGAAACATCACTAGTAAACATACTAGGTGTTACGTACCTGTTGAATTCGCGCGGTAGTGCCTTGACTACTGCGAGGAATTGTGCACGTGTGTCGATCACGCCGTGCTCGGAGAAGTCGGCATCTGCGTAGCAAAACCAGGCTTCGATGTTGTCGGGCCAGAAAGGCATGAGTTGAAACGAAGGCGGGGACAAAGTCTTAAGCTTGAGTACTTTAGGTGTGTGTTCGGTCATGATGAAGTATGAAGTACGATAATGAACAAGGGGAAAATATATATATCCAGGAAAAAACATGAAAAAAAAAAATCACAATGTTTAAAAAAGTTAAAAAAAATAAGGCAATGATATATAAAAATCCCAAAACGGAACAGACTCACAGTTGCAATAAGGTGTACCAGATCACGTCGGTTTCACCAATGATGATGTCACAGGTATTCAGTGTTTGACAACGCTTCTACCAGTAACACCTTCTAATATATTTCGTTCCCGCCCAGAGAAATCAAAAGACAGAGTCGAGGAGATCGGAAGAGTATATTTGACGATGACCAATATATCGGAATTCTCTGATCTAATCTGGCTAGCGATTGCGGTTGATGTTGAGCACGGCGTTACCACACGTGATCTGGTGCGGATGCCTGACCGAGCGCCTTCAGCTAGGTGAGTCCACTAAAACATATGGTCAGCATCCAATGTCGAAAACTTAGTGCTATTTATTTTGGGGATTTATTTACCGCTACACCTCTAAGAGAAAGTTCGATATTTCCTGAAGGACTTTGATAGTATCTTACTGTGATTTACCATGTTCGAGGTCCCTACCTGGAGGTATAGGTTATCCACTGATACTTGACACGGAATCCCGCTAAGCCAAAGCTTCTTTTACATGCAAAACCTTTTGAACCATATGAATATATACGTATATATATATATATACATTTATATATATATATATATATATATATATATATATATATATATATATATATATATATACATTTATATATATACTAAGCTAAATGTTTGTTCAATTTTAAATACATATACTCTCAACTGTTAGAATCTAAGACTTACGTTTACTGTATACAAAAAATAAATTGGAGAAATTCTCATATTTTGTACTTAGTCTCATTATTCTTCTTGTTTTACTGGACCCGGAGTTCGGTTTCTGTTTCACATTACACCGGGTTGTGGGATGTCGTCGATCGTGTATTTCAAGTTCAAAGCAAATGTGAAAACAGACTCTGTTTCGTTTGATGGATCTTCTATTTCTGTGAAAGATCTTAAAAATGCTATTCGAACAAAGTGTTGTTTGTATTCGACTGATTTTGATCTCAAACTAGAGGACACTAATGGGAAAGGTAACTAGGTTTTATTATTCAACTTCGTTTAGTCTATTCCAAAGATGATGAACTAATTCCGAAGTACTCAAGTATTGTGGTGCGACGTGTCCCACGTTTAGTTGCAGAAATTCAAAAAAAGAAACAAATGTAAGTACATTGGCTATGTGGTTAATCGTTAACCTATTACAGGGGTCCAGATGATGTAACGTGGAGAGAGTTGCAAAAGAATGTAAGTTGTTTTTCTAAGATTATTTTCTGTCGTTTTGGTCATAACAGTATGAGGTTGATCGCTGACTTACTGGTTCCTAGGAAGTTTGTGTAGTCATAGATATTTTCATACTACTGTGTAGGTATCCTTGCGAGTCTTATCACTGGTAAAATATGTTTTACTTTGGTTGACTAAGGTTTTGATCATAAGAATTTTCAAGGTACTCTCAGATTTTCCAGTCTAGAAACTTGTCGGTAATCTGGAAGGTTAATTAACTGTTGTGTTTAATGTGTCAGTATAAATTAGGTTCCCTCTACCTTCTATTTTTTGGTCTGAAGTGAAGTCATTAGGTATTAGCCAACCTTATCCAATTTGAATACCGTTTGTGCGGCAACAGTCTAATTTTCCAATCACAAAGTGTCCTGAGATCATTGTAACTAACCTTAAAATCTATCTTAATTAGTAGTGGGTTTCATACACCAGTCTGGGTGCCAACTGTTAGGAGGTTGGAGTGTTGACTTTCGATGGAGTCAATTTGTTCGATTTTGTTTCCGAAATTACGGACTATTAACACTGATTTATCTGTATGCAGCCCATGTAATGTTATTTTCAAATAAAATATTGCTATTATCATTGTTATTGTTGTATTGTAACGTTTTGCAGTTAAAAGTTCACGGATCTTCATGTAATGTTTTCTGCAGTTAATCAAACTCGAGTTTCTTATAGTTAATCAAATAGGTCTCGAAAAGTCTTGTAAAAATCTCATTCTTCGATATTTCATTAATTCCTGTTTTGTGTTTCGGCAAACCACAAAATTGTTACTAGATGTCCTGTGTTTTGTAATACAGATATTTCGTCTCGCTCTACGGCAGCTTAGGTCAACGCACATATGTACTATGCTCTATGTTGGTATCGACTGATAGTTATGTGCATCCAGGGTTATGTATTAGTGTGAATTCAAAATGCTTGTTATCTTGTGGATATCATCATAACACTACCGGACGATTACTTGTTCGTAGTGTACCGATTTTTAATCGTTCAGAATTGTTTCTTAAAACTGACCCACTGACGCATAGCTTTTGTCGCACTCTGCATTACATTTTAACTTTTTAAATAGCCATTGCAGAGTTTCTCTGTCCTCAACTCTCGTATGTACTTGCTGTTCGTCATATCGCTAAACTTGTTCTCTAAGTAACTTTTCCATTACATGGTTTGATATCTACCGGATGATTCATTTTGACTTATGTGATCCAAAATTTAGTATATTGCTTCACTTTCTAAATAAACAAACCCTTAATTGGTATAACTAAAATTAGTCAAGTCTATTACACGTTATCTCAGTATACACGTACGTATCTTATTCCATTGTTTATATTTTACTTAGGTTTCACTACCGAATTAAAGAAATAAGTCTGTTTAGTTGGTGAACGTAGTAAATTTTGTGGTTGTTTGTAGAACAGTGTATTAGATCATGCTCATAAAATAATTGTGGGGTTTATGTTAATAAGCTTCACCACGGTTTCACCTGCTCATACAATTAATCCATTTACTGTAATTGATATGTCGATCAATTATATGGGATTAGGAATAAAGCTAGATTGATATTTTAAATCTTACTGACTCAATGGTATATCCGGTTAGCCTGAGCTATGCGATCGAATCGGTGAGGGAAAATCTAAGCAATAGGATAAATGTCAGGTTCGCCTCATAACTATAAGACCCAAAGGATGATTTGCTGTTATCAAGGCTGATATTTTTCAGCTGTCGAGATTCCGCATTACTTTAATAGGTCTTTATTATTATTTAAACACAAACATTTGTACAAGGAGGCCTCATCTAGATATGCGCCACATAAATCATTCGATTCGTGTGAGGACTTAGAAACTGCCCGGGTGTACAGATCGAAGCAGGTCTTTATGTAGAACAAAATAGTTTTCGTTCTCCCGAGTTATTTATTACAACTGATGTATTATGCTACAGCATTAGATCTAAAGTCACTGGTTTGGCATAGACGTTTTCCAATCCGAATAGCAGACGAGCGGGTAGACAACAAAGAAGGGGCTGTACTGTACAACGAAACTTTGTTTTTACCGTGTGTAGGAAGGAACAAAGTGCATCACAGATGCCTACTAAAAAATTGTTGTGTGCGTTATAAACTTTGAATAGCCAGTATTATTATTCGGCATAACGTGGGACACAAGAAAATCCAATGGACAAGATCATGAGATTGTATGGACTATATACTTTAATCATCCTTACATTTAGATAAAACTGCGACATAGCCGGACCTGCAGTGTTACCTGGATTTAATTTGATGGACCATGTATTAGTCTGACCAGACTAAAACGTAATATGTACACGGTCAGTGTCGGTCTGTGCAATGCAGTTGAGTATAACTTCCCGCCTTAAAACTCACTTGACGATCTAAGACTAACTGGCCAATATGGTATTATGAGCCCGACCGTTGTTGCTACCTTGACGTGGTGGTCGGGCTTGCCTATCGTGATGAAGCAACCGAGCTATACTGGCTGGAACAACCGTTCCTCAAGGTCCTACCATGTCAGACAGGTCGGTTGAAGAGCGGTAAGACTAAAAGCAACAAACCCAAGGTCCGAAGGCGAAGTCGTACTGCTGACTGTACAGAGGTGTGACAGCAGTAAGGTGTTTCCTTCAGACAACCAGCATGACAGCGATGCTGCCTTCCCACAAGGAGGGGTGGGGTTAGAAAAGGTCGACCCTAAAAATGCACACCTCACCTTACCTCACGGATTTCCGTCTCCGGCGGTAAGGCCCTTTGAAGAACGGAGCTAACACGTCGAAAACCTTCCACAAAAAGGCCGTGCGCGACCGGCCTCAAGCAGTTGTCCCTTGGGCACTGCGGTCACGCTCTCAGGTCACTGAGACCACCTCTAATCCAATTTCCTTTTCAGGTACCTCCAGAAGGACCCTTCCACGGTGTGGGCAACCGGGAAGTGATAACCGCCCTCATACCTCTAACAGCACCCAAGACCACTGTATTCATAATCAACCTTCCTCTTCAATTCCTATTATTCCTCCTACATCGACTTTCAACTCTAAACTTCCTCCTTCGGCTTCCTCCTCAAGTATCACCATAGCCAACGATTCTAGTGCTCAAAACTCTGTCCCAGGTCTACTGAAACCTCGCTCCAAACTACACATTGGAGCTTTCAACGTACGCACTCTATGTCAAATCGGTCAGCAGGCTTCCTTGGCTAAAACCCTAGAGTCTCTTTCCATTGATGTATGCTGTGTCTCCGAAACACGCATACAGGATCCCAGTGTGGTCATTCACTTGACCTCACCTCGGCAAAACGGAGAGCCAACGAGATACACCCTTCGTGTATCTGGTGACCCGATGGCCAGTTCTCGTGGACTGGCAGGTGTAGGAATAGCACTAAGCATGAGGGCCGAACAAGCACTGCTAGAGTGGATCCCCGTCAACAGTCGTCTATGTGCTGTTCGGCTGAACGGCTACGTAAGAACTCGGAAGGATAGGGACACACGTCGTTGCCTTTTTGTCGTTTCTGTCTACTCTCCCACCGACTGCAGCTCAGATGAAGTGAAAGATGAATTTTACAGAAAGCTGTCCGAACTTCTTCAGAAAGCTAAACGCTCAGACATAGTACTCGTAGCAGGTGATTTTAATGCTCAGATAGGAAGCTTAAACCAAACAGAAAGGCATTTAGGTGGATATTTTAGTATTCCGACACAGCAAACAGATAATGGTGATCGCCTGCTGCAACTATGCTCAGACAATCGTTTATTTTTAGCAAACACAAATTTTAAGCATAAGGAGAGACATCGTCTAACATGGCGACCCCCTACACCAAACCAACGATGGACTCAAATAGACCATATTGCCATCAGTCATCGTTGGAGAGGGTCGGTAGAAGATTGTCGCTCATTCTGGAGTACCTGCTTGGACTCCGACCACGCCCTAATACGGGCACGCATCTGCTTGCGCCTCACTGGACGCAAAAAAGCCACAGTAAAAAGACCCATTAGGACCGAACTGAGTAGCGAGGAAACCAAAAGTAGGTTCCAGGAACAACTGAGGTCACGATTAGGTAGTTGTGAAGACGAGGCTGACCCAGATGTTGCTTGGAAGGGCATACAATCAGCTGTGGAAACAGCAGTGACATCTATTAGTGACTTAAACCACAGAGTTGCAAGGAACCAGTGGATTTCTTCAAGGTCTGTCACACTGATGGATTCTCGCAAACTCATCCCATCAGGTTCTGAACATGATGAAGAGCGAAAACAAATCAGATCTAGGTTAAGAAAAAGTCTAAGGAACGACCGTGAGCAGTGGTGGGTAACGAAAGCAAAAGAGATGGAAAAGGCGGCGACTATAGGGAACACAAGACAGCTTTACAGACTAATAAAAGAAACTGGAATTAATAAGTCAAGTGTAAGTGAGATTATTTCGGAAAAAGATGATACTCTCATCTGCTCCCAGTCCAGACGTTTAGAACGATGGGCGGAACATTTTAGAGAACAGTTCAGCTGGCCTTCAGCTACTCTACAACTACCCTCCATTCCCAGACAATGTGAATGGAACATTGAAGTAGGTCCCCCAACTCTTGCTGAAGTTCAAAAGGCTATAGTTAATCTGAAACGAGGAAGGGCAGCTGGTCCAGATGGATTGGCTCCAGAGGTCTTTAAGGATGGTGGTCCAATTTTAGCGATTAGGTTGACTAATATTTTAGCTAAGATCTGGGAATTAGACTTTATCCCATCTGACTGGTCGCAATCACTTATCGTCCCAATATATAAGAAAGGGTCAAAATCATCCTGTGACAACCACAGAGGGATAAGTTTAACAAACATAGTATCTAAAATACTAGCCTCGATAATTATCAGACGCCTAACTAAGACTCGTGAACTACAAACTCGAGAGAACCAAGCTGGCTTCAGACCTGGTCGTGGCTGCATCGACCACATATTCACCATTCGTCAGGTTCTAGAACACAGGCATACCTATCGGCGTCCGACGATGG